GCTTCCTGCTTCTCCTGCAAGGGGCCACAGTCCAAAGTGCTTTGTCTTTTGGTGGTAAAGGGGTCAGATAGGAGGTTGATTTTGATTTTTCTTTTCTTGCCAGGTTTAGATTTATTTTCATTTCTTCAGACAGAGAGTCAGGTAAGTGGTTCTTTCTTCAGAAGGTCTCAGATCTCTGAAGTGTCCTTTAGGCACTGATGGGACCCCTCCCTCTCTTATGATCTCTGGGGATGTAAATCTGCTTTTCTGTGAGGGCAGTGGGGTGTAGGTAGCTTATTACCCTCCTCAGCCCCACTGGTAGTTCCTGAGATTCCTACTTAGGCCTCCTTCGTAGATCCCGTTACTATTCTGCCCCGGCCTACTCACCCCCACCCCCGTGTGCACTTAGAGCACCATGCCTGCCCTAACCGGACATTCCACACATTTCAGACACCCACAACGCCAAGAACCTAGCAAGTTGGAGGAGCTCTCAAGGCAGGGAAAGGGGAAGGGTGTGGGGAAGTAGGGGAAAGAGGGAGAGGCTCTCCCTTTTCTCAGAGAATACCTTGGGATCCACAGGGGTTGATTGCCCCCATACGGCATTTCTGAGATGAGTGACTGGGAGGTGGGGAAGTCAGGATGAGATCTTAAACTATGTCCTTGATTATTCCTAGCACTATGGCCCCTCCGTCATCACCTCACTAGATGAGCAGGATGCCCTTGGCCACTTCTTCCAGTACCGAGGGACCCCTTCTCACTTTCTGGGCCCACTGGCCCCCACGTTGGGGAGCTCCCACCGCAGTGCCACTCCGGCGCCCCCTCCTGGCCGTGTCAGCAGCATTGTGGCCCCTGGGGGAGCCTTGAGGGAGGGGCATGGAGGACCCCTACCCTCAGGTCCTTCTTTGACTGGCTGTCGGTCAGACATCATTTCCCTGGACTGAGTTCCTTGGAGTATGGAAACTTCACTGTCCCCCAACACTGAGCAAGTATGCTGTGGAGTCCCAACCCCAGCTACTCTGATCCCTCTGCTGGCTCTGGCCAAGGGCCAGACAGACCTTCACAGATGCCTACTTTTGGCCTCATCTCTGCCTGACAAGGCCAGCACCCAAAGGGTTAATATTTAACCTCTTTTTAAGGACAATGGGGTTTGTTTTTGGAAATGTTCTTTAGATGGTGGCACATTCCTTTGGGTATGTTAACCTAGGCAGTGGGAGGTAAATGGGATGGGATGTGAGCTGGGAGAAGGGCTGAACCCTCAGCCTCAACTGTGTCTAGAGCCTCTTGGGAAAGGGGCACCTCTCTTGAACCCCAAATGTTCTCTCTTCTTATCCCCCAAACCCATGGCTCTATTTCTTCTTCACATCCATTGTCTCTTCATGTCCATTCCATTCCCTTCCCTTTGGCCACACAGACAGGTGGAAAAACTGAGACAGGCAGTTTCAGAGATGGACAGAGAACTTTATTTTGGATTGTGGATGTGGATTTTTTTGTACATAAATAAGAAAAACCAAAATACTCCAAAGATGACTTCCCCTGCCTCCTACTCCAGTATGACAGAGGAGGATGTAAGGCCTTAGCCATGATCCCCCAGTGGTTTGGGAGTCAGGCCCGGCCTATTGCTTGGGTCTCTCTCTATTTATATATTTAAGTTCACAGTGTTTCTTATTCCGCCCTAAGCTTCTAGAGGCTCATGGCCCTGTGGGTAGGCCTGGCTCATTCCGCACCTTTCCAGGGAGGTGGGAGGACCCTGTGCCCTCCTTCCCAATCCTCTTTTTCAGGCTCGTCCAAGGCCTGGGACCTGTGTTGTAATTTTACTTTTTATTCCTAAAGTTGTAGTGAAGCTCTCACCCATAATAAAGGTTGTGAATGTTCTGTGAGTGTCACGGAGATGGGCTAGGGAGGGGATTTTACACTTCACTTTCCAGACCCCTGGTTTGGGGGAAGAGGGTCCATGTTCCATTCTTCCTTTGCTGGCCCTGGGTCCAGGTGAGCTGCACTTTTACACGGTGGGGGTGTTCCATGGAGGAATTCCCAGAGAGGTTGTCCTTCCTTCCTTTCCCCCATGCCTGTAAAAACCAGACCATTCCAGCCCAGTGCTGTGGAGCGCTCCAGTCCCTTTTCACTTTTCCCTGCCCAGATGTTGCAGCCAGAGCCTGAGGGCAAACTTGGTTCCAGTGCTGACTCTCTCTTTGCCCTCTGCCATGGTTGGGATCGTCCGCAGCAGGGTGGACATGGGCAGGACCAGAGGTCGGGCTCTTCCATCCTCTTCTAGTTCCAGTGCACTGCATAGTGACAACTCCTGTTGGGGCTGTGCCTTGTAGCTTACAAAGAACTTACATGTATGTGAGGTCCCCGAATCCTCCCAACTACCACAGGAGGTAGTGGGTGTTGATCTCTTTTGCAGAAAGGAAACAGGTTCAAGGAGGGTTAAATGACTTGCCCCTCTGTTAGAACTGACACTTAGACCTTCAATGCTAGCCAGTTAGAGCATGAATCCTTGGGGTTTGATGGTCAGTGTCTTAGATCTCATGGATCTTCTTAATTATCACCTGACCCACTCTCTTTAAATCTCCCCACACCACCAAATTCCATCCTGAGGAGAGGATAGACGCTGTACTTCTCAACATGAATATGCTGGTGTATTAGAGGCTGAGGGAGAAGCTCTTACTTACAGGACAGAGGGTGGTAGGTCCTGGGGGAGAAGTCTGGGTGTCTCTGTCCCATCCTCTGTGGCAGCCACTGCAGCAGCTACATCTGGTGTCAGCCACATAAGGGCGCTCACCTCACTTGGGTTTGGTTGGATCCGGGCCTGGGGTCAGACGTGGTGACCCCTCAGTCATTGCCTCTCCCTGGGATGCCTGTTCGTGATCAAAACCTACCTGCACTTTTCAAGGAGAAAGGCAGGCGCAACGGGAAAGGGTGTTGCATATTCTTGGTTATCTCTGACCCCCGCCCCCTCCCCCCCACCCCTGCTGCCCAGCTTCCAACCACAGGCAGAACCAGGTTGCTTGGGCTCCCCTGAGCCCTGTTTCCTTCCCTCACTGCCAGCCCTACCTGCAGCTGCTGCTGTGATTCCTGGGAGATCACGAGTAGATACAGAACAATGTGATGGTACTTGGGTAAACCCCAGCTCAGCCTAGGAGGGTAGGCAGACTAGGAAAAGAAAACAGCAAAAGTGAGAACTTTCTGTCATGTTTTTTCTTTTTTTTTTTTTCAGATGGAGTTTCGCTCTTGTCACCCAGGCTGGCCTGCAGTGGCGCGATCTTGGCTCACTGCAACCTCTGCCTCTTGGGTTCAAGCGATTCTCCAGCCTCAGCCTTCAGAGTAGCTGGGATTACAGGTGACTGCCACCACGCCCAGCTAATTTTTGTATTTTTAGTAGAGACGCGGTTTTGCCATGTTGTCCAGGCTGGTCTCGAACTTCTGACCTCATGTGATCCGCCCACCTCGGCCTCCCAAAGTGCTGGGATTATAGGCATGAGCCACCACACCCGGCCCTTTCTGTCACTTTTTGAGACTTTGTTAATACAGCTTTAGGGTGAAACAAAATGGTGGCCAAAAGCTGAGGGCATGGATGGTATAGATGACACAGCAGGGACATGGGTGAGGGTTATGGATTTGGGGACTCCAGCCCACTTATGTGCTATTGTTTCCCTTGTAGCCAAGGCAGGTAGGGGCTGATCTATGGACTTTGGTGGGTAGTTGTTGAGGTCTGTTGGTTAAATATGAAGGGGCTTCTCCCAGCTCCTTGTCTCACCTCCCATAAACCCAGAGGGACCCAAGAGAACTGGCCCTGGGGCAGGTGTAGTCCACACTCTTCCCAAAGTTCTCGAAGCCCTCCGTCCAGCAGCTGGGAGTCAGAGAGGACACATCAGATTGGCCAGTGCCTGATTCCTCCAAGTCCTCCTGCTTGCCCCTCCCTCAGCCCACACCCAAGGTGGTCCTAGGCATGGGTCTCTTGGCTCAGGTTGGATCAGCTGACTGGTTACCTCCTCCTCAAGTTCCACGTGCCCACCTGCAACAACAGCGGGGCCAATAGGTGAATGGTGGTGGTCTTGACCAGGGACCGCCCACTCACTGTTGACATTTCTCTCCCCCTCAGTGGACACAGGGAGTTGCAGTCACTTGTGGCTATGAAGATGCCACATTTTGGGGCCCACTTTATCCTTTTGAGACTGGGGAAAACATTGTTGCGGGGAAAGGGCAAATTTATTTTCTGTACGTGGGGCCTTGTCCCCAGAATACTCACCCGGGGGTACCCAGAGGTTGGGGGAAACGCTGAGGGTGCGTGCCCTTCTGGTCAGCAAGACAGTCTTGTCGCTGGACTGCAGAATGACGGCCACACCCAGGTCCACACCTCGATCTGTGGGCAGCTCAGCCCCAGGAACCCTGGGCCGCTCGTCCAGGGCCGCAAAAGGGCAGAAAGGGGGTCGCTGGCAGAAGGAAGCCAGCTGGGTTAAGGCTTCAGAAGTGGGGCGGCACTGGGTGGGCGTGACTTTCAAAAATGGGGCTACCCCACGCGTTGGAGGCGGGGTCCTCGCCGCCAGTTCCCACCCGATTTCAGTCCCCGTCTTCGGCCCTTCACTGCCCCCACCCCCGCTCTGAGGCCCCTTTCTGCTGACCTGGAGCGGAAGCCTAGCGGAGGCGCCTGGGAAGGGCCTGCTCGAGAGGACAAGCCGTCCTCGCTTCAAGCTGCAGTGAATGGGCCACGGCCCGAGCCCTGGCCCGGCTCCCAGGAGGCCACACACACTCCGTGCGAAGCTCACCGACTCCGGACGCCCGGACAGGAGCAGCTGTACCCGCGCCGCGGCCATAACGCGACTCTGGGGTCGCTGCGGCCCGCCTGGCGCCCTCTGGTGGCCTAGCGACGCTTCCTCTTGGAGCGTTCCGCGGGGTCGGAAGGTAGCGGGGTTTCCGAAAGTCCCCGGGAAATCCGGGCACATCTTTTGAGGATGACCCATGGGTATAATATTAAACCACAAAGAATACCTCTAAATGCTCAGCTCCTATTTCCTTCCTATCTTCTCTGTTTAGGACAATGACCCCCAGACCGACTGACTTCAGGACTCACATGTTACTTCCTACCAGCCCTAAGCTGAACTGTAAGCACCCTCTACAGCACTGTGCACACCTGTTACAGCAGGCATCACTTTGAATTCATTATCTCCAAGCGAAACACGCCACATAACATTTTCGAGACCACTTCTCCTTCTTTCACTTCACCAAAATGGCAACCAAGTATGCAGATGCTATCTCCTTAAACTTCCTCAAACCCATGTTCTCTCCAGCCTTCATTCATTGCCCTAGTTTAAGCCTTCCTCATATTTTGCCTGAGATATTATTGCAAGTCTCCAAATAGTCTTGCCCCTACCAGTTCATCCTCTACAGTGCTGCCAGAGTGATGTTTCGTTTTGAGAGTCTCGCACCACCACCCAGACTGGAGTGCACTGGCGTGATCCCAGCTCACTGCAACCTCCATCTCCCAGGTTGAAGCCATTCTCGTGCCTTAGCTTCCCAAGTAGCTGGGATTACAGGGCGCCCACCACAACGCCTGGCTTTTTTTCTTTTTTTGAGACGGAGTCTTGCTCTGTCACCCAGGCTGGAGTGCAGTGGCGCGATCTCGGCTCACTGCAACCTCCACCTCCCTGGTTCAAGCGATTCTCCTGCCTCAGCCTCCTGAGTAGCTGGGATTACAGGTGTGCACTACCACACCTGGCTAATTTTTAAATTTTTTGTAAAGATGAAATCTCACTATGTTGCCCAGGCTGTTCTTGAACTCCTAGCTTCAACTGATCCTCCCAGTGTGTTGGGATTATAGGATTGAGCCACCATCAAAATTATTTTTAGCTGTTTTGAAATGTACAGTAAATTAATAACTATGCTACCCTGCTGATCTATCTAACACTAGGTCTTATTTCTTCAAACTGTATTAATCTGTGCCCACTAATCAACCTCTCTTCATCCTCCCCATCCTTCCTAGCTTCTGGTAATACCAATCTATTCTCTATTTTCTTGAGATCCACTTTTTTAGCTCCCATGTGAGAGAGAACATGCAATATTTGTTTCTGTGCTTGGTTTATTTTACTTAACATAGTGACCTCTAATTCCATCCATGTTGCTGCTAATGACAGGATTTCATTCATTCTTCCTGCTGAATAATATATACATTTTCTTTAGCCTTTCATCTATTGATGGGCACTTAGGTTGATTCCATGTTTTGGCTATCGTGAATAGTGCTGCAATAAACATGGGAGTGCAGGTATCTTTTTGATATATTGATTTCTTTCCTTTTGGAGAGAGAGAGATATATACCCAGTAGTGGAACTGCTGGAGCATACAGATCTATTTTTAGTTTTTTGAGGAACCTCTGTAGTCTTCCATGGTGGCTGTACCAATTTACATTCCCAATAGTGTACCAGGCAGGGCTTTCCTTTTTCCACATCCGCACTAGCATTCATTCTTTCTTTTTGGTAAAAGTAACTAATTGGGGTGAGATGATATCTGTGTGATTTTGATTTCCATTTCTCTGATTAGTGATGTTGAACATTTTTTGATAGATCTGTTGGCCATTTGTATATCTTCTTTTGAAAACTACCTATTCAGATCTTTTGGCTATTTTAAAGTTGGATTATTTGTTCTTTTTGCTGTTGCTTGAGCTCCTTGTGTATTCTGGTTATTAATCCCTTGTTAAGATAGTTTGCAAATAAAACATCCTCATCTTTCAAACTATACATTGTCACTTTCTCTGTGTTCCCTTTCCTGCCTGACCCTTTTCCCTTTCTGGCCTCTCCGTACGGAGTTACTCTTCTACTGTAGCACCTCCAATACTTCCTGGTACTTATGTACTTATTTGTCTCCTCCTACTAGACTGTATGCTCAAAATTTATTAATCTTTGTAACTCCAAGGCTTACCCCAGTACTTAGCACAAAACAGGTGCTTAGTAAATGATGGTGACTGGTCTGAAGGCAGAGATGGTGTCTTACTTATCTTTGTATGTTGTGTTTAGTATGGTGGCTGGCAATTGTTTGGCACTCAAGTGTTTAAAGAATTAGAAAACACATTGGTGAGACCAAACTGAAGATATTATAAAACAACATTTAACTGCTTTAAATGAATTAAAGCTGCTGGGACAAATTATATCCATGATACTGAGAGACACAATTTAGCGTTGCCAGTTTTAAGGAACCATGGAGAAGAGGAAGGTACTCATTTACTGTATGCTTATCATATGCCAGGCATTGGGCTAGCTGTTCTACGTAGTTTCAGATGTGTTAGAAGCCTGGAGCTGGCAAATGTGGCTTCAGTCCACAGATTCTAGTGTGACTGCTTGGGACAATCTACCTGCTAACCCTCAAAATAACTTTTTCTTCTACTCTGTGATAGCCTTTCACATTCCCTACACTATGTGTGTGTTAGAAATTAGTTCATCAGCCTGGGCAACACAGGGAGGCTCCGTCTCTACAAAAAAAAAAAAAAGAAAACATTAGCCAGGTATGTGTGGTGCATGCCTGTAGTCCCAGCTGCTCCAGAGGCTGACGTGCAAGGACGCTTGAGCTCAGGAGGTCAAGGTTGCAGGGAGCTGTGATTGCACTATTATACCCCAGCCTGGGTGACAGAGTGAGATCCTGTCTCAACAACAAATTTTCTGTCTTATCTATCTTATCTATCTATCTCAACAAAATAAAGAACAGGCATAGACATTTGAAAATAAAATTAACTTCTTAGGAAGAAGTTTCCTACTGCCAGGGATGTAGGTAACCATAGGTGTGGGTAACTTCTTTATGGATACAGATACATCTGATAGATGATTAATCCTGTTGATTTAAGGTTCTTCCCAGTGCCAAGATTTGATGAGGGGAGATTATAGCAATGGATCTAAATATGCCAAATTCTTTCAGGTGTATCCTGGGCTGCAGGGGATAGACAGGGGGGTTTAGTTGAAGAATCTGCAACTTATCCCACTGCAAATAATGCATCCAGGTACTTCCTTTATTTTGCTTTCCATCCCCCCCCCCAGATCTTTTGAGGAAGATGCTTCTGGATCACTGTCTCTTCATGGTGCACTCAATGTAAGACTCCAGCAGGAAGATGGTTTCGTCCACCTGGATCTCACTGGCATCCAACCTGAGTGAAAAAGTAAAAGCATTTATTTGCCTAGACTGAATGTTCATTAGCATATTTAAGATTAGAGGCTAGGGTGGTGTGGCCATGGATAACTGCTTGGTTACCCCTGAGAGTGGATGGCAAGAAGGCAGGAGAACCAGTAGATCATTCTGCCATTTACCAAGCATCTTTTATGTGCCAGACACCATGGAAACTGCTAAGAATGCAAAATACAGAGCCTCTGTCCTGGGGGAGGGTAGTCTTTTTTTTTTTTTGAGATGGTGTCTCGCTCTGTTGCCCAGGCTGCAGTGCAGTGGCCGCATCTCAGCTCACTGCAAGCTCTGCCTCCCGGGTTTACGCCATTCTCCTGCCTCAGCCTCCCGAGTAGCTGGGACTACAGGCGCCCGCTACATCGCCCGGCTAGTTTTTTGTATATTTTTTTTTAGTAGAGACGGGGTTTCACCGGGTTAGCCGGGATGGCCTCGATCTCCTGACCTCGTGATCCGCCCATCTCGGCCTCCCAAAGTGCTGGGATTACAGGCTTGAGCCACCGCGCCCGGCCGGGGGAGGGTAGTCTTAATTGTTGTGGGATACAAAATCACAACACAAAAGTTGGTTGTTTTTGTATAACACTAGCAATGAACAATCCAAAAATGAAATAAGCAACCACTAACCTAGCATCCAAAAAAATACTTAGAAAGGCCAGATTTGAGACGCATTACTGAAGTAAAAGTAAGCCAGTGCAGTGGCACTTGCCTGTAGTCCCAGCTACTTGGGAGGCTGAGCAGGAAGATTGTTTGAACCTAGGCGTTCAAGGCCAGTCTGGGCAACACAGCCAAAATCCCCTCTTAAAAAAAATTTACCAGTACTTGATGAAAAAGAGAGTGTATATGGTGAAGGAGAAGAAGCTGAGAACATCTTCAGAACTGCTAGTTTACAAAAATAGGTGGATTAAATTCTGTTCAGTTAGCTGGAGAAGACAGTGAGTTTAGGTTTGCTCATGCTAAGTTGAAGGGTTACAGATGTCAAAATGGATTTTCTGGATAGTATTTTGAAATGCAGGTCTGAAGTTTGTGATGCTTACTTGTTGACATTACGTTTCAGGGTCTCTAGCTGCTGACGTTCAGGAGCTGTGATCATCTCCTCTATTTCTTGTAACTGTGCTTCCTCTGCACCTGTAGCCTGCATAGATGCAATGATGGCTTCTACCCTCTGAGATTTTTCTAGTAGACGCCTGTCAAACAAACACAACTCTGAAACATGTTCCCTAACCTGGGAGATTCTCTTACCACGTATGTCTGAGGCACAGCCCACCACCCTTTTACCATTTTCCTGGTCAAAGTAGATAATGTTACCTTCTAAGGACATTTTCTACAAACTTACTGGGAAATATAACTTTAATCCTGAAATTCTTACTGCCTCTCATTTGCACTTAAAGTTTGGTGCGTTTGTACGTTTCTCATAAATTTAATCTGAAAAATTACTTCACTGGGACCATGTTAGAAAAGTGTAGACTAATGCATGATTTATACTAATATAAGCCAATGATTCAATGCAAGTAGACTGGTTGCTATCTCTATTGGTTCCTATTTCTCAAAAAAAAATTTTTTTTTGAGATGGAGTGTCACTCTGTTGCCCAGGCTGGAGTGCAGTGGCATGATCTTGGCTCACTGCAAGCTCCACTCACTGGGTTTAAGTGATTCTCCTGCCTTAGCCTCCCAAGTAGCTGGGACTATAGGTGCCCGCCACCACGCCCAGCTAATTTTTGTATTTTTAGTGAAGACAGGGTTTCACCATGTTGGCCAGGTTGGTCTCGAACTCCTGACCTCAAGTGATCCACCTGCCTCCGCCTCCCAAAGTGCTGGGATTATAGGCATGAGCCACCCTGCCAGGCCCAGCATCTATTAGTTCCTATTTCTAGAGGAAATTTCCTCCTTAGGCCCTTGACTTTGAAAATTGTAAATAACTCAACTGAAAATGTTACTTACTTATTCTCTTTGGTTTCAAATTGCCTCCTTTCTATCAAGTTGGCTATGCTCTGAGGAAAGAGAAGACAGACCAAGGAATGTACATAGTTCTATTTCAGCAGCTCAGGGCGAAGTGGGCATATGAGGGGGACTTGTCCGTGTGGAGTTACCTTATAGCACCTGTGCAACAACATTCGGGCAGCTGACAGGATGTTCACAGTATATAAATAGAAAGTCCTGGATGGGGCATGGTCTGGTGTTTTGGGAATTTCCTATTTGTCCAATAGAAAGAAAAATAACAGAAATTATACTGTTTTAGAAATGGCAAAGTACACAGTCATTCCACCTGGAGTTACTCAGCCCTCTTTTTTACTTACACTTTCCTGTTTCCTAGTCATTCAGTACCTGTGTTTATTTATTTATTTATTTATTTAGAGACTGGGTCTTGCTCTGTTATCTAGGATGGAGTGTGGTGGCATGATATCGGCTCACTGCAACTTCTACCTCCGGCTCAAGCAATCCTCCCACCTCAGCCTCCCGAGTAGCTAGAACTACAGGCATGCACCACCATGCTCGGCTAATTTTTTACTTTTTTGGGCGTGGGGGAGACATGGTCTCACTATATTGCCCAGGCTGGTCTTCAATTCCTGGGCTCAAATGAGCATCCTGCCTTGGCTTCCCAAAGTGCTGAGATTACAGTTGTGCTCGACCCAGTCTCTGTGGTTTATGTCATACTTAGTCAAACGGAGAGCTGGGCTTCCCTGTTTTTTTTATATGACTGTCAGCATCCTGAGCTGGGGAAGAAAGGGTAGGCAACTAACATTTACTGAGCAACTCTATGTGCCAGGTAAATTCTATTTGATCTTCACAGAAAACCATATTATTATTATTTTTGAGACAGAGTCTTGCTCTTTTGCCCAGGCTGGAGTGCAGTGGTGCAATCTTGGCTCACTGTAACCTCTGCCTCCCGGGTTCAAGCAATTCTCCTTCCTGTCTCCTGAGTAGCTGGGATTACAGACACACGCCACTACACCCAGCTAATTTTTGTATTTTTAGTAGAGACAGGGTTTCAACAGGTTGGCTAGGCTGGTCTCGAACTCCTGACCTCAAGTGATCTGTCCGCCGAGGCCTCCCAAAGTGCTGGGATTACAGGCATAAGCCACCGCGCCTGGCAACCATATTATTTTTATTATCACCATTCATCACTGTTTTATAGACGGGAAAAATGTAACTTGCTTAATGTAACTGGGTAAGGCAGAGCTCTAATCTGACTCCAAAATCCATTCTATTTACTCATAGGGTCTACTACATAGCCCTGCAGACTCAGTTAGATGTGTTGATAAATTTAAACTATTACAGAATTAAGGCTTAAGGAAGGACAGAAATAGAAGAGAAAAAAGACAGGATGGGTTTGGGGTGACGTCCTGGCTGTGCCTCTTTTTTTTTTTTTTTGAGACAGAGTCTCACTCTGTCGCTCAGGCTGGAGTGCAGTGGCTCGATCTCGGCTCACTGCAACCTCCCCCTCTTGGGTTCAAGAGATTCTCCTTCCTGCCTCAGCCTCCTGAGTAGCTGGGATTATAGGCGCGTGCCACCAGGCCCAGCTAATGGTTTTGTATTTTAGTAGAGACGGAGTTACATCATGTTTGCCAGGCTGGTCTCGAACTCCTGACCTCAAGTGATCTGCCCACCTTGGCCTCCCAAAGTGCTGGGATTACAGGTGTGAGTCACTGTGCCCGGCTGCCTCTTTCTTACTAGGGCAGTTAAGGCCCCACATTATCCTCCAAGTGCTTGTGAATCATGTTTTTCTATCTCAGAGCTGGATATAGAGTTTGCTTGGGGGTTCAGTATGTTTCCCTAAGAAGTTTCTCTCACCCTAGGCCAGCATTGCTGGTTGGCAATTATTACACCCTTGGTTGGTTACCTGGAGTGACATGAAATTTTCTGAGAGCATCTTATATAGCATATCCTTTGCCTCCTTGGCAGGAATCATTGCAAAGTCTTCCACTTGCTTCTGCTCCAGGTGTTTCTTCTGCAAAACTAGACGGAATATTCTAGCACAGCGAGACCCAAATCTGGAAAGGAATGAAGGAAGCATTCCTTTAGTTCCCAGTCATAGATGGGGTGGTTGTTCTATTCCATGTGTGGAGCCAGGACCAGAAAGGAACAGTGATCAGAAAATTATTCTACAGCTCCACAGGCTGGTGATGGTAAGGCATCACCAACTGATGTTAATCATAAGGCAGTCACCAACTGCTGACTCATTTGAGTGCCACAGTTCCTACATTTGTAAGCAAAGGCTTTAGGGAGGCTGGTTAATTGGAATTAAGCAGTAGGTTATTTTAGGGTAAAGAGCAGTATTAATGCGATCCATAGGAGTCCAGTGAAAAAATGGGGCAAAGTGTGCCAAGGTGTGGTTATATTGGTTGCTTACATAATGATCAAATTACTTCATTGGGGATAGGAAGTATGTGATCCCAAACCCAGTGTCCCCCTTACCTCTCCTGTACGACAGAATCCAGAGTGGCTGTGGCTAGGGATGCTAATGCCTTATGGAGGTCTTTATGTAGAGAATTAAGGTCACTCAGTAATGTTTTGGCCTAGTTATTATGATCTGAGTTTTACTCCTAAGTTTCTATTTTAAAGCTATTTTGCTTTTCATGTTATAATTTATGGTTTCAGTTATGGTACGTAAATATTCCAAAATTTTAATACACGTGTTTAAGTAAGGGTTTTGCTTAACTACAATTTGGCGGATTAAAAGTCCTTTTTACTTCTTTTTTTTGAGACAGGGTCTCACTCTGTCACCCAGGTTGGAGTACAGTGGCATCATCTCAGCTTACTGCAACCCCTGTCTCCTGGGCTCAAGCGATCCTTCCACCTCAGCCTCCTGAGGAGCTGGACTACAAGCATGCATCATTACATCTGGCTAGTTTTTGTATTTTTTGTAGAGATGGGGTTTTGCCATGTTGCTTAGGTGATCCTGAACTCCTGGGTTCATGCAATTCACCTGCCTCAGCCTCCCAAAGTGCTAGGATTACAGGTGTGAGCCACTATGCCTGGCTTCTTTTTACTTCTTTATCATCAATGCAGTTCACTGGAAATTCATAGAAAAATTTATTTAACAATTATTTCAATTTTCTAACTTATTTAGTGTAATAAACATTATCAAATCTTTCTTTCCTAAAGCACCATTCTGATTTATAGGTCAGGCTGCCTGACTCTAAGGAAATAACTGGTAAGGATACTGATGACATACATTCCTCCACCACTGTCGCCAGACTTTCCAACAAACTCTAGCTATTAAGAAAAAGAGAGAGTGTTAACTGAATGGAAGTCCAGTGATTCTGTTTCCAATGGAACAAATCTGACCAAAAGTCTGCAGCAGACAGACTATTCTCTGCCTAGCCAACCCAGACAATTTCTCCACATCATTTGGAGATGGGAGATCAAATGATGTGGAGAAATTGTCTGGGTTGGCTAGGCAGAGAATAACTCTACAGGACAATGATACTAGATATCAGTGCAGAAGTAAATTATCAACAGTACAGACTAAAGAAAAAAGAAAAAAAGCAAAAATAGACTTACCGGATCATCTGCCAGCAGAGTGAGATACTGATCAAGAACTTGCTTAGAGATGTTATAGCCAACAGGTAGGGATCTGAAGATCTATGGAGCAAAAGACACTTAAAATGGGTTTGGGAACTTAGAACTCCTAACTTTACTGAAATAAAGATGTTTTAGGCTGGGCGCAGTGGCTAACGCCTATAATCCCAGCACTCTGGGAGGCTGCGGCAGGTGGATCACTTTGGGTCAAGAGTTGGAGAGCCTGACCAACATGGTGAAACCCTGTCTCTAGTAAAAATACAGAATTAGCTGGACATGGTGGCGCATGCCTGTAACCCCAGCACTTTGAGAGGCCGAGGTGGGCGGATCACTTGAGGTCAGGAGTTCAAGACCAGCCTGGCCAACATAGTGAAATCCTGTCTCTACTAAAAATACAAAATTTAGCCTGGTGTGGTGGCATGGGCCTGTGATCCCAGCTACTCGGGAGGATGAGCAGGAGAATGCCTTGAACCCAGGAGCTGAAGGTTGCAGTGAGCTGAGATCATGCTATTGCACTCCAGCCTGGGTGAAAGAGTGAGACTCTGTCACAAAAAAATGAAAAAAAAAAAAAAAAGCCAAGCCAGCATGAATAGTCCCATTTTGGGGTTAAAACATACATACACCCATACATATGTTAGAGTATGCAAGGTCTGAATAAAGATACATACCAAACCTTTTTTTTTTTTTTTTTTAGATTGAGTCTCACTCTGTCTCCCAAGCTGGAATGCAGTGGCGTGATCTCAGCTCTCTGCAACCTCCCACTCCTGGGTTCAAGCGATTCTCCAGCCTCAGCCTCCCAAGTAGCTGGGACTACAGGCGCCCACCACCATGCCTGGCTAATTTCTGTATTTTTAGTAGAGATGAAGTTTCACCATGTTGGACTACGCTGGTCTTGAACTCCTCAGGTGATCTGCCCATCTCAGCCTCCCAAAGTGCTGGAATTATACGTGTGAGGCGCTGCATCTGGCCTTTTTTTTTTTTTTGAAATAGGGTTTTGCTCTGTTGTTTAAGCTGTAGTGCAGTGGCATGATCACAGTTCACTGCAACCTCAAACTCCTGGGCTCAAGCAATCCTCCTGCCTCAGCCTCTCGAATAGCTGTGACTATAGGCATGTGGCACCACACCCAACTAATTTTTTTAAAACATTTTTTGTAGAGACGGGGGTCTTGCCATGTTGCCCAGGTTGGTCTTGAACTCCTGGCCTCAAGGGATCCTTCTGCCTCAACCTCCCAAAGTTCTAGGATTACAAGTGTGAGTTATTGCACCTGGCTGTAGAACTTTAAAATAAACAATATAAAAATGTAGGAATATTTAAGTAAATATAGTCATGCACCACTTAACATTTTAGTCAACAATGGACCGTGTGCAGCTGTGGTCCCATAAGATTATACTGGAGCTGAAAAATTCCTACTGTTTTGTGATTTCTTGCTGTTGTAACATCATAGCACAATGCCGCCGTGAAACATATTACTCACGTTTGTGGTGAGGCTGGAGTGCAGTGGCATGATCTTGGCTCACTGCAACCTCTGCCTCCTGGGTTCAAGCGATACTCCTGCCTCAGCCTCCCGAGTAGCTGGGACCACAGGTGCACGCCACCATGCCTGGCTAATTTTTTTTTTCTTTTGTATTTTAGTAGACGGGTTTCACCATGTTGCCCAGGCTGGTCTCAAACTCCTGAGCTCAAGCAATCCACTAGCCTCGGCCTCCCAAAGTGCTAGGATTACAGGCGTGAGCCACCCTGCCCAGCCTGTTACTGTTTTTAATAAATACAGTGTAGGCTAAGTATGTAGACCTTCACATTCACATTTGCCATTCATTCACTGACTCCCGCAGGGCAACTTTTAGTCCTGAAAGCTCCATTCATGTTAAGTGCACTAAAGAGGTGTAGTTTTTAATTTTTCATACCATATTTTTACTGTACCTTTTCTGTGGTTTAGATGTTTAGATACACAGATGCCACTGCATTACAACAGCCTACAGTATTCAGTACAGTAACATGCTGTACAGGTTTACAGCCTAGAAGCCATAGGCTATCCCATACGGTCTAGGTGTGCTGTAGGCTACACCGTCTAGGTTCATGTAAGTACACCCTACGATGTTCACACAATGATGAAATCGCCTGACGACACATTTCTCAGAATGTATCCCGTTGTTAAGTGGTGCATGACTGTATTACTACGAAAGTAATATAAATAACACATATTGGATATATTAGATATCAGTATTTTAAATACAAGGGGTCAAATAATATCCTGAATACCAAGGCTCTCAGAGTCCAAATCGTGGATTCTTAAAATAATTAGGAATAGGCTGTACTTGACGAACAGATACTTTGACTAAGTGAATAGTGTAGATTTTTAAAAGCTGGATCCTAAGAGACCAAACATTTCAGTGCTCACCACTTGAAGATAATCCCTGCTCCACATCAAACAAACGCCCTTCTCTATCAAGGCTCAGACCTCAACCCAAACCCAGGATCTGTGTATAATAAACGTTGTTAATACCCAAGAATCTGTCAGAAAGTTAGCGCAAGAACACGAAACTCACCTCATTGGAAGACAATGGCTGGGTGAAGGGAGCACTAGAGGAAGTGGTAATCTCACTCATTCGGAGCATGGTTCGCACAATCTCGCTGCTCGTCTGTTTGAAAAGTAAACTAGAATTCAGAAATCACAGTGCTGCCCCCGGCTCTCTGTGCCAATGGCCAGATATGACAAATAAGTAAATGTCCCTGATGACCAATGACAGACCCACTTAGGTATTACCTGGTCCATCCTGTTAGCGACTGCACTCACAATGGCTTGGTCACGGAAGTGTTGGTGGAATCTGTCAAGGTTGGCCTGCCAATAAATCCCGTCATCTGGAATGGGCTGAGGAAGAGAAAAGATTTAGAGAGAAACATTTAGATATAATGTAAAGTTTTCTGGTGAGGAGCTTGGATTTAATGGTTCACCATTTCTTTTCCTACACAGTAACAACTAAATTGGTTGGAGAAAAATCATTCAGTCATGTAGATTGGTGTCTAGACAAATCCCAACTTCAAACAGGTTCTCTAAGCTCATCTCCAATCTTTCTCTCCCTATTTTATTATTTTACTTTTTTTTGAGATGGAGTTTTGCTCTTGTCACCCAGACTGGAGTGCAGTGGCGTGATCTCGGCTCACTGGAACCTCTGCCTCTCGGGTTCAAGCGATTCTCCTGCCTCAGCCTACCGAGTAGCTGGGATTACAGGCAACCACCACTGAGCTAGGCTAATTTTTGTATTTTTAGTAGAGTTTGAGTTTTACAGTGTTGGCTAGGCTGGTGACCTATGACCGCCCTTTCTCTCCCTATTTTAACTCTTCTCCATTACCCTCAAGTCTCCAACCTGACCCTTCCTTCTCATTCTTGGCAGATGACTTTGCCTCTGATTTCACAGAGAAAATAGAAGCCACTAAGCCAGAACTTACTCAGCTCTGTGCACATCCTCACCACATTTCTTTCTTTTTTGTTCTTAACTCATATTTTCACTCACTTTTATCACAGCTGAAAAATGTTCCTTTTACCTAAGGTTAATGCCCATATTGGTATTCCAGATCTTACTCTCTCATTCATTCTTGGGGATCCAGCTCTATTTTACCCTGTCCTCTAACATCTTCAGCCTTTCCTTCTCTACCGCCTTCTTATCAGCCTTTACCCTGTCCAAGTCTCTTTTACTCTAGAATTCTCCTTCAACCCTATGCCTTCTCTTCTTTTCCTTACTGTCACGGCCAAGCTTCTCAAACAGTTGGCCATCCCAGCTGTTATCTCTATCTAGATTTACTTAACCCTTTTCCACCATTGTACTGAAATGTCAATTGTCACTTGCATTCCAGTGAAATTCCATAATTGTCCCTGAGGACTCTATGTTGTTAAGTTCAAATAATACTTTCCACTTCTGATCTTATTTAACCTTTTGGAAGCATATGACATGGTTGGACATTTTTTCCTTCTTAAAACTTTATGTGGCTCCTTGGATTTTATGACACCATTTTTTTTTTCTTTTTAAAGACAGGGTCTTTGTCACCCAGGCTGGAGAGCAGTGGTGTGATCGTAGCTCACTGCAGCCTTGACCTCCTTGGGCTCAGGTGATCCTCTCACCTCAGCCTCCCAAGTAGCTGGGACCACAGGTGTGTGCCACCACGCTTGGGTAATTTTTGTATTTTTTGTAGAGACAGGGTCTCACCATGTTGCTCAGGATGGT